AGCAGTGTCACAAAATAATTTTAAAAGAGCATATCTTTAGAATTTCCGATACTCAGTCTTGCGCTTTGGAGGTGATGAAAAAAAAATTTTTTTTCCTCGTACAATGTTGCCATAATCATTTTGAAATCGTTGAGTTTCTTAATCAAAAACTCATAATTGCTTTACAAAATTTAAAATAGATAATAAAATAAATTCCCAGTTCCAAATTTGGGCTTCCAGTTGCGTATATTTGGGTGAAGGATTGCGTTATTCAAAATTTGATAGCTCTAGGTACTGTTGTTTTATCACAATGTTAGAAACATACATATATTTATGCAGATTCTTCATTATTTAATTTCTTTAAATGTAATATAGGGCAATAATATTTGGTGGCAAAAATTTGAAGAAACACCACAAAATGCCAAAACAAAATTAATAGCCCTTCTGGGCTAAGTCCCTTTGGGCTAAAAATAATATATAAAAATATCACACTAGTAGTGGTAACTACTACTACTAAAATATATATAACTATTTGATAGTTTTATAATACTTCTTTTTTTCATTTTTATTTTACAATAGTGTGAAATTCGTGTAATAATGAATGGTGTTCCTTATTGTGTTCACAATATTTTTCATAAGGTATGCCAGTGTTATATTTTAAAATAAACCTAATTATTGCTGTACATAGTGACTCTTTTCAGATGCCTGTTTTATTATTAACTGAAGAAAGATTATGTTCTAGATAAATATTTATCATCTTCTACAATTTTAAACTGTTTAATTACAATATATATATGCATAATATATATTTTTTGGGGGGGCCGCCCAGACGGTACAGTGGTTAGGGAAGCCTGACTGCGATACCGAAGGGCCGGGATTCGAATACCGAAGAAGGCGTGGTTGTAACTGTCCGTCCCTTCATAGGAGGTGATGGTGGCTCACCTATTAGGTGCCTCCAATTTTAATAGTTTTACAAATTTAGGGATTAGAGCTAAAATCACAAAGAGAAGGGTTAAAATTTACTGTAATTTATTAGATTATTTGAAAATTATTAATTATGAATTTCAAAATTTTCATCTTTGTGAAACATTAGTTCTAAATTTCTTATTTTATGTATATATATAATTTCAGGAAGAGTATACATAATTCTTTCAGTAGAAATTGAGTTTTTATTTTCTGAATGTGGCTCAAAATACTTTCTTAAGTTCATTGCAAATTAAAATAAGTATAAATTTTGGCAGTCTAAAATAGTCTATGAAAACATCTTTTGAAAGAGCAAAAGTATTGTCATGTTTTCTATAAATTTGCCGCTGAGCTAAGGCCGTGTTCTTCATTTAAATTCAGAAACAGTAGCAGTGAAAACACATACAAAGTCATCATCTACTAGGAACATCAACTGCACAAGCCTGATTGACGAACAGCAACCTTTTTTCTCGCGCTTTCCACAACTTCCGTACTCACAGAATATGGGATGTCGAGCAGACCTATTTTTCACTGTAGAATAAGTGTCCTGGTCTGCAAAGATGTTCACGTAGCGCACAGATGTAGTGATTGTCGTATAGGGATTATGGGTTCTAATAATGGTCCATGAAAGCATTGCCCACAAAATAATACCCCCGTCACCAGCTTGTTTCCGTCCGACTACGTATCCGGGAGCCAGGATTTTGTTTGGAAGTATTAGCACACACCCATCGATGTGATGGACTAGAAAACGTGATTTGCCGAACCATGCAACTTTTTTCATTCTTCTAATGTCCAATTCCGAAGTTTCTTGGCCCATTGCAGGCGCAGCTAGTGATTATGTGCCATCACTGCAGGGACTTGCTTCGGCCTCCGGCTGCGTAGTCCCATATGCAGCTATGTACGCTGGACAGTGTATTGAGAAACACTGTCTGGGTTGCCTGTATTATGGCTGGTGGTGATGTAATTGACTGTTGTTAGCTGCAAATCATTACCAAAATAATTTATTACTGTTATATGTTATAAAACATAATTGTTGTTTGATTTAATGTATCTTTTTGCATTGTTTAAATAGTAACAAATTAAAAGCCCACAAATAAATTAACGGAAGTCATAGTTTATTAATAGCTTCCACTGCAGAATAATGAAGCTCCAAATTATTGAAGCTCCACTTTTATATATGTGATATAAAAAATAAGTTGATAAAATATTAACTTTTACTTGCCATGGCCTTTTAACTTCTCTACTTATTTATTTTCCTTCTCTATCCTAAAAGCAGTAACTAATTATAATTAATCTATCTATACTGTGTTATTTCAAAATTAATCCCAGTCATATGATTCTCACATAATGTTAATGATACATTTACTTGCACAATGCTTCAGCCAATGGTGATTTTAAAATTTGTGAACTGAAATTTAATCAATCAAAATGAATTTGAACCAAAATTGAATTAGTGTTATTTAAGTTTTTGAAGTACAATCTGCACATTCTATGTTGCTCTGTCGTGCAAGCTTGTTGTCCACTATACTTTCTTTCTTCAGACATAAAAAAGTGTAAAAGATGTCAATGTGACTAACTTTTAGTTTAAGAACATGTGCATATGACTTCAAGAGAAATGTTTTATGAACAATAAAAGAACATATCCAACTGGCTATGATGCTACACTACCTTCATATTATCTCCAATTATTTTAGCCTTTTCAACATCTATATTTTCTAAATTATTACATTTATGCATTGCATAATTATCACAGTACAAATTCCAAAATCCAGTCATCTAATACAGTCAAAAGTCTTTAATCCGGACGTCCATAATCCGGAATGATCTATAATCCGGACCTCAAAGCTACAAACTTTCTGCGCATACGTCAATGCATATATTCGTTGACGCATGCGCATATTTGTTTACATATGCGCGTAATACCTTTACGCATGCATGTTTAACGTATAACGGACGGTATAAGATAAACTAAAATTATCTAATTATCTATTTCAGTTAATGTTGCAGATTGCGTTGTACCTTAATCTTCTAATTGGATCCGGCTTATTATTTTTTGCAGATTGTTAGAGCAATTTTATAAAAGTAAGCTAGAACTTTCGATTATGTCAAAAAGAATTTCCGATTCTGGAGCTGCCAAAGGATCTACAAAGCGAAAGCATGTTTCGATGTCCATCAAACAAAAGCGAAATTGCTGCAAAAAATGGATAAAGGCATATCCTTTGTTTCTCTAACCATTCCGAAATCGGATTATCAATTTCATACTGCTCTGAGGGGGGGGGCGACGGCGCGGCGCGCAATGAACTGGAAGTTGATTTGTTAGCACTATTCTCATCTTCAGGGCAGATGTTTTTATTTTATTTGGCTTACAATTCCTTACTAAATGTAGTATTTCATCTCGATGCACTCCATCTTTGATATGATTTAAATGCATTTCCTCATCATTATAAATATCACGAATACACATCAAATAGTTTTCTGGTTACAATTTTCTAATTTCGACTATGCATAATGTATGCTTTACGCATGCGCGCGTCGAAAGAAATGTTTAATAAAGTAAACAAATAAATATTAAGCTTTTTTTTTTTTTTTTTTTTTTTTTTTTGTAAATTTGATACCCTTTAGATCATAATTGCTCTTTATTTCATAAATTACGGTTTCAAATTTTTAATTTTATAATTTCTGCATGCCATCTTACCAGATTTAAACTGATGATCTATAATCCGGAGAAACCGATAATCCGAAATCGCCGAAGTCTCGAGAGTCCGAATTAAAGACTTTTGACTGTATTTGGACTTCCAGAGCATCGGAATTTTTTTTTTACAAGATCTAGGAAAGGCTAATATAATAGCATAATTATTAATAATTAAACACAGTACAAAGTCCAAAATCCAGACACCTAAAATTTGGACTTACAGAGCATCGGAATTTTTTTTTTTTTTTTTACAAGATCTAGGAAAGGCTAATATAATAGGAAAACAAAAAGCAACTGTGTGATAAAAACGATTTTTCACTCGACTGGCTGAGATTCCTGTATACCACTTTAATGACAATACACAGACTGATGGATGCTTTGTATGAAAGTTGACACTCAGTGCTAATTCTTAGCAGCTCTTTCCATTTGCTTCAGTTGATCCCATGAAGATGTCTGATGGACTGAAGATTCCTCAAGGCAAGGAGAGTTGCTCTGGTCTCTGTAAAAACCCCCTACATCGCAAAAAGATCTGATAAGCCCAAGAGAAAGATGAGATGAAGAGAAAGGCGCACATCAACATTTGACTTCCAGACAGATTGCTGGGCACTTAATCTCGAGAAAGTACCAGGAGAATTGAATTACTGTTTCCTAAGCAGGAGCACAAAACTGAGCAAAATATATGAGGCAATAAGGTGGTGAGTTGAATATTGAAATAAGTACTTCTTTACTTTCAACACTTAGAACGTCATCATATTGCACCACTTGTTTAATAGCAATGCATTTTGCTTTCATTTCCTAAAGAATTACAGTATGATTCACATTAGCAGTAACCACACTTTTGGTCCTTGAGTGGTTGCGGAAAAGGCAATTTTTCTATCTGACTTTAACAATAATGGTAGTTCCAAAACATATTTGTTTGAAGTGGGGTGTTGCTTATACAGGTTTTCTTGTGTTGGAAAAGTAACTGGAAAGAGAATTACATGTTGAAGGATTAAAGTGCAGTTAACACAGCTAATTGCTGAACGTTTTTTGGCAGAAAACTTTTGTTACAACCATATATTAAAATCAAACAAATTTTGAGCCACCAAAATTTTCTTCTGATAGCTAATGCAGCTTACAGTTTAGAAACTACTGTTTAGATTGGATAAATATGTTTAATATGAACTTTCATGGCGTATAATAAATAATTAAATTGTTTAAATTATAATCCTATTTTTTGCATATGCTAATGTTAAACTTTGGATTTATAAATGTAAAAAATGAAATTATTTTCACATATTAATAGCTTGTGAATTCTAAACGGTGTTTTAAAAACTTACATTTACTCATTTGTTTCGTTATCGATCTTTTAATACTTTTTTTTAAGGAAATCCTTTGGCATGTGGCTCTGAAATTGAATGGATGTTCAATGCTAAAAGGCCTTCTAGACTCTTTGGTAGCTGTGCTGAACCCCCAGAAAGGAAGTATCAATATATGCAGTATATAATTGATGAACACAATAGAAGAAAGGACTTAAAATAAATTCTTCATTTCTTGAAAGCAAAATATTATCTTTACTGTTTTGAACAGGAAAACATTTTGAATAAAATTTTTTCTAAACAAGTAATTTATACTATTTCATGGTATACATGTAAAAGTGAACTGAGAAGTGTATCACTTATTTCCTTCATTCATTGTCAATGAATATGTTCTGCAGCGAAAATTATTTCTATGTGCTAATATTTTTTTTTTCATGTGCAAAGGATGGATGGGGATGCGGTTTTATTGTTTACATCCAGAGTATATTACCTTGATAGCGTTTGGGTAGTGCTTCCGCACACAGCCATTCTGCACAAATCGAATAGCGGGCACAGTTCTGCATAAAAGCAACATTCATTGCTGGATGGGTATAAAAAATATCCGAATAAATAATTAAAACAGAACTTTAGAATGACCGTTTTCATTTATTTTTAACAATAGCAATGGTAAAGAAAAAACTAGTAACCATGGTAATGCTTTGCGACTGTGCAGATAGTCTCGCAGACGATGTGCTAACGCATAGCAGCACAAATACAAAAATTTTAAATACACCTCATTTGGGCTCTGTTAAGAGTACATAAAATCTTATAATTAAAAGATCAAATACAACACAAATTAATAAGCATAATAGAAATAGTACTATATGAACATACACTGTACTTAAGGACATTTGTTATGCATAAGACAATATTAAAGGAGAAATATCAGGTTTTTTCAGGTGGATAAATTAACTGAATTGGTCTTTTATATTTTCCCTTGTCAGTTCGAATAACACATGAACGTACGTATCCTTCACAACCAGTAAAAACGTCTTCAACAATACCAAGTGGCCAGAGAAATTTTGATTTATTAGCCCCTGCAAACAAAACTACATCTCCTCTTTTAATATCACTTCCTGGTGACGGATTTACAGATTTATGTGCACTTCTCAATTGCATCAAATAATTATTTTTCCATTTCATCCAGAGTTGATGTAAACGTTTAGTCTGATATAAATTTCAACGAGTCAAAGTTTCTTTTGTAGAAGGTTGACTGCCGAAAATTTCAACAAAATGTATAGGATAGCTAACATTCTCTTGACCAGGAAACAAAAAATGGGCTGGTGAGGTTTGGGTTTATCTAATTCATTGCTTACATAAGTAAGGGGTCTATGATTTTAAAAAATCCCAATTCGATTTTAAGGTATTTCTCCCACTTTCCAAGCGTCCTTAGTGGTGCAGTGGTTCTGCACACTGGGCCGGTATTCCAGAGGTCCGTGGTTCGATTCCCGGCGAGGGCGCTGTTAATTTTTCATCTTGGCTGCTTCCAAAAAAATATCCTAATGTCTCTACATTGGCGCTCGAACTAAAAAAGTTGTGGATGATGATTCTCCACACCCGGGATTTGGCAACTAGGTTCCCTAAAACACTAATCGCCCTTTAAAAAGGAGAGTATATAAGGTATTTCTCCCACTTTCCAAGCGTCCTTCGTAGTGTAGTGGTTCTGTACACTGGGCCGGTATTTCAGAGGTCCGTGGTTCGATTCCCGGCGAAGGCGGTTGCATATTTTTCATCTTTTCTGCTTCAATTAACCTAATGACTACACGATTTCTTCCCTAGAATGGTCGTCATTTCGTCGAAGCTAAGACAAGCTTTTCCAAGAACTTTCTTAAAGAGTTTATGGCGGTATACAAATCAGTGGCCGCCATATGCTTCTCATGAGTCTCTCATAGAATCCACCCCATCATAGGGCATGAGAGACAATAAACTGCCACGTTATTTCATGTAGAGCAACAAAATTTTTGAAGTCTGAATTAACAAAAATTTGGGGAAAAAACCTTTCAGAATGTTGTCTATGGTGTTAAAACTTTTAGCGTTATCAGAAATGATGACCTTACAATTCCCCCTTGCCAAAAAACGTCTTAAGGACAAAATAAAACCTTTCGTTGACATATCAGTAATTAATTCGATATGAAGTGCTCCAGTAGCTCCACACGTAAATAAGGCTAAGTATGATCTTTGTTGAGTGTCCTTTCTGAAAAGAAGAAAGACTGGACCAGTAAAATCAACTCCAGATACAGTAAATGGGGGATTTTCCAATACTCGATCCTTTGGCAATTGAGCTGTCTGTTATCTGTTTAGTAGATTTTACAGAATATCTACTGCAAATGAGACAATTTTTTAAAACCTTCTTTACAACTTGTCTACCCTTTGGAATCCAAAACCTGTTTCTAATTTTGACAAGACTTACAGATACTCCGCCATGGTAAATTTTGTTATGTTCTCTTAAAATTTATAACTTAGTGAATTTCAACTGTTTAGGTAATATAACTGGATGGATTTCATCAAAGACAAATCCGCTTTGTTCATGCCTACCTCTTACGCGCAAAATACCGTTTTCATCTAAAAATGTGGCTAACTTATAAAGAGACGATTCTTCAGGAATTTGTGTACCATATTTAAGGTATTCTAATTCAGAAGAGTACACAAGTCTTTGTTCGTACTTTATCCTGTCCTGGTCTGCCTTCAAGAGTTCAACTGCAGTGTAAGGTCCCATTTTTACATGTTCTTTTCTAAGTTTACCAAAGAATCTTTTAATTAATATCGTAATCTTCAGTACCTTAGGTTACTATAGTTATTCAAATAAACTGAGACTTCTCCACTGCACATTTATTTTGTGTTATATTTCAAATTCTTTTCTCAATTCTAAATCCTCAGTGAGATTCTCTTTTAATCTTATCAGGCCAAAACTCAACCAATTTCGTCCATGCCAAGAATCTCCAGCTAAGTTCGAGGCTGAAATACCCCTAGAAAGGCTACCCTCACGATTTTCCTTTCCAGGGCAATGTTTTCATTTGTTAGGATCGGACAAATTTTGAATATCTTCTGTTCTATTCTTCCTAAAGGGTTTGTATTTACAGGCCTTACCCTTTATCCCAAACACACATATTTTGGAATCAGTCCAGAAAGAGCAATTTAGATTAAATTTCAAACATTTACTTAATTGTTTAGCAAGCTCAGAAGACAAAAAACATGCTATCAGTTCCAAACGTGGGAGTGTGATAGATTTGAGAGGGGCGACTCTGTTCTTGAAATGTATAAAAATAGTAATAACTCTGTTGTTTCGAGTAACCGCTCTCAAATATATAACACTGACCCGTATACCGCCATAGATGCATCTGAAAGAGAATGAATATCAAATGAAAGAAAATCACATAAATTCAATTCAGAAAGATAATATCGTTGCGTGCGTACGGGTTCGTTATGAATTGAATGCACAAGTCTGATGGAAAAAAGTGAACAAAATTTATTATTATCGCAAGAAATAAAACAAATCTCTTAAATTTCCTCAGATATTCGTACAGTATTACAATATCTCGCAGTAGTTATCTTTTAACTACTCAAACGTTCAACAGAACTTAATTCAAAACAGCTAGAAAGCTAACCCACGAATTCGCTACAGTCAACAAGAGCAGTTTTCTAAATAAACTCTTAAAACAACAACTACAACTGAATTGAGAGGTTTACCTATTTTTTATAAGGTTTTTAAATCCTTGAGAGATTGTTCTAACAGTTTCTCGAAATCAAAAAGAGATATTTATTTATTAAATGTTAAATGCACGTGCTCTTGTATTTTTAATTTTCCGGCTTAGCTTTCTTTTAATAGTCGTCACGCGCTGCTATGAAAGGGGAATAAAATAATTTTATTTGTAATTCTAAAAACATTAACTATTCAAATACCAAATCCGTAACACTGCTCTCTTCCCCAAGGACTGCACGTCCCGGGCAGGACAATCCCTGGACAGGAAGCCAAACTTAAAATTAAGGCATAAATGCAATAATAAACATTACATTACAATAACAAACGACATGAATAATAAATGCAATAACTTAAACAAATCAAATGCTATCAAATTCTAAATACAAATCAAATAATAAATACAAGTCAAATCAAATACACATTTGGAAACAAAAAGGGACATGGTCTTGCACTATTTACAATTATTTACACTACGTAATATGACCATAGTAATAAGCTAACCTGTCGTAATGAACGACCTTAGGTTTAGAGTTCGATGACTTACGGATCCGAACGACGACGTCATTCAGCTTGTTTAGGACTGTGTATGGACCATCCCAAAGTGACTGTAATTGAGGCCTGACTCTTTTTCGTCGAATCGGGCTCCACAACCACACCTTGTCTCCTTCTTCCAATCGATGCCCAGTAGCTCGCGTGTGATATCTGATCTTCACTTTCACCGTCGCCAAGCTGACTCACTCTCGTGCAGAACGATGCAGGACTTCAAACCGGGCCATGACATCTTGGATTTATTCCTTATGCAATGAAGGCGCATCCGTAGGGCGGTCACAAGGCAGACGAAGATCTCGACCGAAGAGAATCTGAGATGGAGAATAGCTGGTAGTTTTGCGTTTCTTTTCGACCCTCGTATGATTTCGGCAGCTTTCTGAGCTGGATCTTTCGGACAAGGCGTCGGCAGCATTTCCAGGTGAGGATCCCTTCTGAGGATGCATAGTTATGCCCTCAGATGCTGAAAGCAGTTTGTTGTTTTTGAAGTCTAAGGAAAAACTGTATATCCTTAAAAAGTCCAATCCGAGTATGCATGGATCTGTAATATCCGCCACATATGCCGTGTGATGGTAGGCGGCCTTTTCAAACGTGATGTTCAGGTTTAACTTCCTAGCTGTGTCGATCTTATTATGGAGGGTATCACAGGATGGCGTCCAAATGAGTTTTTCTGTAAACTGTTGAGGTAAATATCTCCGAATGATGCGTAACATTAGCTCCTGTGTCAATGATCATATTGCAAGGAACTCCATCGATATGTCCGTTGATAGATAGTCCATTACTGTTGCCACTCACTGCAGAAATCTTGAGCTCTTTAAAACAGGGTTTTTCATTATCTGGAAACCTCCGTTCCTCGATATGGTCATTCATTTGTTTCCTCCGTCATTGCTGGGAAATAGTCTTAATTTTCGTGCTTTGGGGTGTTCTGCAGTTCCTTTGCACGTGGCTTTCAGCTCCGCAGTTTCAGCTTTAGTTTCTTGTCACTTCTTTTCCGTGCCATGGCATTTAATTGTATGTTTAACT